CAACAAAGCCTAAACACAGACAAGGGGGGACATGCTTTTGCAGCAGCTGAGTTAGCACTTCTTGGAAGCAAGGATAAGATTTCTCATCTAAGTCACATCTTTCATTTTCTACACTAGACTTTGCATTAGTGTAGCTTGATGGACACCAGTGTCAGAATTCAAATGGGGAAGAATGTAAAGACTATCTTATCTCCCCATTATCAAATACTAATGCAGTCTACAGAGATGGTCTAGGATTCTGCAGTAACTCAGCTACATATAAAATGGATCATCATAATCCCAGGAATGATTTACAAATATTTTGCAAATGGTTGCTGCTTTGCTGTTATTTTTTAATGTTATAATATTTTCCAACAGTGCATATCAGACAGTGCCAATTTATTATTGAAAATCTTCATGAACTGTTAAAAGATTAGGGGCTTTAGTACACTTATTTTTTGGAAGATGCACATGCAAGTCCATTGCACTTAAGGGTCCCTTGCCTCCTACTTGCCTTTGTTCAGTAGGCTTCTACTGAAAATGTATTAGATACCCAGGCCCCAATTAATGAAATAATTTAAGCATGTGCTTAATCCCCACAGGTTTAAAATGTAGCGTATGCTTATATGCTCCCTTCGCCCATCCCCCCCCCACAACAGAGGTATATTCTTGAATCAGAGCCAAAAGTATGTACTGGAAAAAAAATCTTGTGATTCAGGTGACCAGCTAAAATAGATAGAAACAGTTTGCAAGCAACTCACAGACAGACATTTACTTGCATGAGCTATTTGTTAAATCTTTAGATACATGAAATAAGTCAGGAGCAACATGTGAAAGCAAAAAGACTACTTTTATATGACAACTTATTTTCTGTTAAAAATTCACTCTGGAGTGCACGTAAAATCCTGCAGAAAGTCTCAATTAGAGGGAGAATTTATGTTGAATTTATAAACTAGTTCAGTGTGGCACTGATAAAAATTAATGTTTTATTTTTCTCTTTAAAATTTGTTCCTTACTCTTTGTCCCTGCCAGACGTTGATAATCGCAACATCCTTGCATTATCTAGTTGGACTTTACAGGAGTACAATGCAGATTTGCTGTGGGCTTTTGCTTCTGAACAGAATTCTGCAGAATCATATAGGAATGCTCAAGTGTCCTTTAGATGCCCATGAAACAAGGGGAAAAAGAGGAGGAAAAAGTCTGCATAACAGGGTTGAATTTGGACATGATGAAATATTACATAACTGTGGTTCTAATAAATTATGGAGTTAGCTGAACTCCAAAATGTTTAGTTTCTTCTATGCAAACACGTAAGCACTTGCATAACTGAGCTGCTTCTTGGACTTCTATAGGACTGCTCAGACATAGGAAGTTACACATGTGCTTAAACACCTTGCTAGTTCAGGGCCATGGCTTCACAAAAGTTCTTTCCAAGCTGGTATGTTATCACCATCAGGTTGTCCTATTGTATCATGAGCCACAACATTTGTCTGATTTGCAGGGATTTGAGAAAGAGAATAGTTCCACCAACTGCTGGCAGAATTGGGTGGAGGAATTCATCCTCCTCCGATCTTGTTGATGCTTGCATGGGACAGAGTCCACTGTCCCAACAGTGTCCACTTAGGGCTTTTTGGAGCTGGTAATGTCCCTCTGTTCCTTCCTTGGAAAAAGCTGTTTAAGAAGAGCTTGAACTAATGAGAGGCTTTTGTTTTGTTGACAGGCTAATAAACGCTGTTATCAGATCCCTACTGGCTCCTTTGCCTGATAGGTTTGCAGACAGTATGAAGAAGCAGGGAAAGAGATTGAAAAGCCCAGTATTATCAACAGATGCATGTACTGCATACCTCCCCTTTGCCTGATAGTATTAGCCAGGAGCTGGGGTCTGGCAACACTCCCACCCCTTGAGCAGTGAGCGGGGAAAAGCCTGGGATTGTGCAGGGAGGGTGGGGGTTTAAACTTCTCCCTAATCAGAGTGTCCTGCTGGGGCCTGGCCATGCCATGAGCCAGTCCCTTAGCTTCCTGGCTGAAGGACTTTTCTTTTCTGGCTATATATTGTCTCATTAAATATCTAATAAAAGTAAGTGGCAGCTGGGATGTAGGCTGCACGGGCACTTCTTCAGCTCAGTCTGGAATCAGAGCTTACCAAATAATTACACAGACAAAAATTCTTCAAAATATATAAAATAGTCAAATAAATGAAATATGGAAATATTATTTAAAAGTATTAAATACTTCATATTGTCAAAAATATTTTAACTGAAGCAATTGTTTGCATGGAGATTCTGAATATCCAGGATTAGCTTCGCTGGCTGGCACTGGTCTGATAGGCTGCACATTTCTTTTTCCTGATTAGATATGTGAGTTGCATCGAGGCTTATCAAACAGGAGTACAGTCCCTTTTTGTGGAAATTGTAACTCTGGGTTCCATGACTGCTCACACATGTGACCTTGGAAAATAATCTTTGTGAACAGTTGTGCCAATGAAATTCATGGAAAGTATGGCTCAAACACATTCGTTAAATAAGTCAAAAGGATATTTATGTATTTTCTTCTTCTTTTTAAAAAACTTTGCGCTATTTTCCCAGCTCTAACAGACAGATGGGTGCTCTGGTAATATACAGGGCAGAAACATCCAAAGATAAGATGACATAAATAAAACAATTACAATTTAATTCCTTCTTACAGACAGTGTGTGGGTGGTGGTGTATTCTCTTCTCCTATTTCAACTTGGCCAGATTCAAGCTGGATACAAGTATAGCTCTCATCTTCTCCTTATTCTTGTGAAACTGGGGACTGGAATGCCAACAGGCCTTTTGGCAGCGGAGATTGCAGCGTTTGGAACTAATCTGCCTATGACCAGACACAACGAAGAGAGAGTTAATCAGTGTACTCATGGGCTAGCTAGCCTAACATTGTGCTGGTGACAGATGGCTGCATGAGACCAGTTTTTTGTTTTTTTTTTAAACAAAGGCAAACCCTTCACACCAGATGTAAAACAGTCACTACTACGTGAGGATCAAACAAATGCTGGAAAAAGTATTGCCACCCTCCCTCCCCCTGCCCCTCAAAAAAAAATCTTCATCATGTTAAAGGATTTAAATTCAACTTTGAATACTGAAGTTTTTTTATTTTTGGCTCTCCAGCTTGCTGTCTGCTCTAACGAGTGATTTAAAGATAAGAGACAAAATAGTGGAAGGAACTGCCAGGAGCAGAATTATATATTTGATTCCTAATTAGTTGGTTTATTTGTAAACGTTTTCTGCGTTCCATAGCCACAATGCATGAGTAACCCACTGGGCAGTGGGTAACATTTCCTGTCCTCTGCCCTCAACCTACAGAGAATGATAGTCCATTATGACCTCCTGTGGTGGAGTCTGTCACCTTGGCTCAAATTGTAGAGATGCGCACTTCATTCTGGAGATCCCTGTTGTCATTTTTCAGGCCTGGCAAGAAAGTGGCAATTTGGGGCATCCGGGATTGACACTGAATACTGAAATAGTGTGTGCTCAGTATGGAGAGAGAGGCCTGGACTGTTTGGCTGGAATTCTGTTACACCTTGTACACATAAATGGTACTTATCCAGGCAAGTAAGTGTGGTTTTTTGTTTTGGTTATTTTTTTAGCATTTATGCATAGTTTATGATTCTGTTGCTTGTGCAGTGTGGACACATACATGTACAGCAAGCATGTTGGGTGTATTTATATTTATAGCAGTGCATAATTGCTGCATATATAATTATTTATGAGACTCATTGTAGTGGGTGAGAAAGATAAATGGAATGTATGGGCATTATATTACTAATATGCCTGTAGAAAGCCTATATTTCAGAGGAAGATCCTGGGTCAACTAGCTTCATTCCAGAAAAAATACTGGAAGAAGAGGACCGAGGAGGACCCGCAAGCCTTCTTTTAGGCTGTGAGGCTGTTTCCATGTGGCATGAGTGGAAGACAGCTGCAGGGTAGCCAGGTAGGTACCCCTGCTAAGCATAGAACTGATTGGGTACAAACCACAAATGTGACTCATGGATGCACTATTTTCCCAAAGGGTAATAGTTATAAACCCTCCAGCGGTTGTTATAGAACAAAAGAATACTTGGAAAGGTGAACACTTGCTGAGCTTCAGGAGCTCTTCTCATTGGCTCTGCTGCTCAGATTCACTCGCATCCAAGGAGCTATCTCCACTGTCTAGGCAGGGCTGGCCCACGATTTTTTGGATATAGTTTTGGGGCCCCCTGATCCATCAAAAAATCAAAATTGTGGTTATTTGCAGCATAAACTCAGTAAAATATAATAGTCAGGGCTGGGTTGCGCGCATGTGAGCTGTGCTGCGGGGGATGCAGGATGGGGGCAGCACGTGCTGGGGACACCTGGGTTCGCTCCCTGGGCCTGGGGCAGAAGCAGAGCCAGAAACTCCTCCCCCGCTCATCCGGGAAGGGGCTCCCTGCCTGCATCGAGCCCTTTCAACATAGCGCAGGTGGCAGGGGGTGAGTGGGGCATGGCCCTGTGGCTGCGGGGCCCCCTGTGGCTGCAGGTTCCTCAGGATAGCATGGGCTGGCCCTGAGTCTAGACTACTGCTTCATGTACGCTGGGGACTAGAAAAGTCAGGGTATGACTCCTCTCCTTTCCTTTCCTTGTGTACATTGCTATCTGGCTTTGATAGTATCTTTACATGGATTATTCTTTCATCCCTCTACTGCAGAGCTAGACTGCTGAGCTCCTGCCATAAAGATACCCATTAAGAAGGACAGATTATCAAGGGCCTTCTTGGTTGTTCATTTTGCAAGCTGGGTTGCTCCAGTCTTCTAGCATTGAGATAAAAATTCTTTGAATGACCCTGGTCTTTTGGCATACTGTCAAAGGTGATGCACTGATTTGTTCTTCTCAACACTTGCTTTATTCTAAAGTGGGTGCGCCTACATAAGACACTGAAAAATACTGCACAATAGCGAAAAAGTAGTAGAAAAGTACTGCACAGACAGTGCTAATATGCTACTGTGCAGTGTTATAAGGCTACTGCACAGTCCTGGGGTCCTGTGCAGTAGAGTCAACTGAAAGGCGTTCACTGGTGCTACTACACAGTAACTCGAGTTACTGCACATTTATTTAGCACTTGCTAATACAAGTGCTAAACAAATGCTCAGTAATAACTGCACAGTAGCATCTTGTGTAGATGCGACCAGTGACTGCTTATCTTGAAACTAATCAGAAACCCAATGTATTTCCCATCACCAGTGTCCTTGCAATTCTCCCCTAGTTGGTGCCTGCTAAGAAGAAAGCTGATCTCTTCTTTTAATGCATTGTATGCTTAGTATACAATCAGTCATTAAATTATGATTGTACCCTGGCTTTTGGAATATCTGTCTATAAAAATCCTGGCCTCCTCCTTTATGAGTATGCTCACTTAGTAGGAGAGAAATCATTCACTATTGGCCCCTGGAACTGGGAACTTTTCCATATCATAGGCAATCTAAACTCAGATAGACAGTCAAGGAAACCCAATGACTATTTATTATCAGATCCATAATATCTGAGAAATGATTGAGTCCTAGGCCCATTTCATCTGTAAGGTGAATGTAATGGGTGCATCCAGATGAGAGCAGACATGTGGTGTGTGGAGTCGCAAACCTGGTTGCAGCGCCGCACCCCACGTCACAAATGCAGTCATTTCCCATGCTGCTAATTTGTAGCGCAGCGGGGAGGGGCAGAGGTTGACACCGGGAAATCCCAGTGTAAAAAAATGTATACCTTAAAATGGAGCGGCACACATGTCAGCAGTGTGCATTGCTGGAAACCAGAGCCTGCCTGGCCAAAGTCACACTAGCTGCTGGCCAGGCTCCGTGCTGCTGGATTGCCACAGCTGCAGCCCCCGGTGGCCCATAGGACCCCAGGTAAGGCTGCTGGGGTCAGCCCAGGTGCTGGTCCCAGCCTTCTCCACCCCACCTAGGGCAACATATCACGTCCCAGAGCATGTGTGCATGGGCATTTCCTGGGGAAAAGCAGCAGTGGCACATATTGTGTCATCTTGTGCTACTGCTGCTTGCCTCCAGGGAAATGCATGCTCCTGCTCATGGCGACATGCCCAATCTGTGCAACTGCAGGAGGAACCAGTGTGAAGAGCTATACTGACTGTCAATTTGGCCTACAACTCCAAGAAACCCCAAGCGGCTGGGGTGCAAGGAAAAAAGAAAGAAGACATTTGAGGCTGAAGCAAGGGAAAGAGAGAACATTATGCACGTGGAACCTGGTCAAGTTTACATAGAGGAGTGCTCAGTAGAGCTGCAGACCTCGCTGGCTGTCAGCCAGGACTGTGGCCTGAAGGAGGTGAATTCAGACTTGGGGGCAGTTGCAGGCAGCTGTTTGAGCTCTCTAGGAAGTAAAGGCTTGTTTGGGGACAGGAGGTACTACTTCACTGTTAGGGCAGCTAGGAACTGGAACGAACTTCCAAGAGAAGTGGTGCTTGCCCCTAACCTGGGGGTCTTCGAAAGGAGGCTAGACAGCCACCAACTGGGGTCATTTGACCCCAGCATCCTTTCCTGCCCATGGCAGGGGGTCAGATTAGATGATCTGCTTAGGTCCCTTCTGACCCTAACAACTATGAAACTCTGACACCTGGAGGGAGAGGGGGGGG